AAGAAAGAAAGAAAGAAAGAAAGAAAGAAAGAAAGAAAGAAAGAAAGAAAGAAAGAAAGAAAGAAAGAAAGAAAGAAAATTTCTGCTGTTTTAAGTCACCCGAGTTGTGGCCTTTTTTTCAGCAGCCCTAGAAATCTAACACTCCTGGGAAGTGGGAGAGACGTGGTAGACAAGGTGGAAGTTAAACAGGCGACTGGTGGGTGACTCAGGATCCCTTGTGCCGTGCCCCTGCCCCCACTTCCCAGAAAGAAAGCTAAGGTGATGGGGGCCGCAGTGAGACTTTCTATGTCGTGCCAAACTCTCCCGCGGGGACTCCAGAGCCCAGGGCTGTGAATCACCCATGAGCTGTGGTTTTGTTTTAAGCAACTGTGAGGAAGTGCCATAGGGCAGCTCTGGAGGATGAGGTGAATCTCCAGGGAGGCATTTCAGCCAGGCTGGTGCCGGGTAGCTGCTCTTGGGGGTGCACACCTGGCACTCAGCCCACACAGGGTACCTGAGTGCCCAGTTGTTGCTTCTTTCAGAAGAAGTGAAGACCCACGCATGGACCTGGAGGAACAAGAAGAAGGAAGTGAGCCCGGGGAGTGTCCTCTGAGGCGAAAATGGTGAGAGACAGCTGGATCCCACATCTAAATCTGCCTGTTTTCTTCTGTGCCTTGTCTATCTGACATGCTCTGGTGGTCACAGGCACTTCTTAGATGCCAGGACTGTGTTAATAATTAATATTTTTCAATTTCCTCTTTTATAACAGAGAAAAGCTGTCAAATGGGGAAAGGCTAACAGAAGGCTGCAGAGAAGGATCCTGAGAGGACTTTTCAGAAGACCTGGGTCCTGAAATTCAAACATCGACAGTCTCATAAATCCGGGCATCCAGGAAGATGCTCACAGCCTCCCCACAAGTGGCCAGAGCTAGGATCATACATTGTACGGAAGACAAAACTGCCATCTGAGCATGCCTGTGTACTTCTCTTTCTTGGCTGTGCTAGGGATGGAATACAGGGCTTGGCAAATGCTAGCCCAGATGTGAGTACATTTTCCAGGAGCCATTTAACCTGCCACAAGTCATTTGCAGAGGTTGGTTTGTTTATTTCCACCTTTGGATAAAGGACAGTAGTGTAGAGTCCTAGTGTTGCTGTGCAGAGTAAATGAAATGATGAATGTAAATTCTTTAGTGCCCCATACATACTTGGTATTCCATTTGGAGTTATTATTATTGAGGGGAGTCCCATGAAACCCCTCAATAGAGGGGTTTTCAAAAATTATCTATCTGTGTCAGGGTTGTCACCAAGTAACTTTAGCTGCTGAGCTGTCTTGACGGCCCTGTCTGTAGGATTTCTGAGCTTCTGGTAAGGACAGAGCCTCTCACCTCACTCAAACAGGAAGCACAAAGCCACCCTGAGGAGGTTGTGGGAGAGGGTAGATGGCAGCAGTCCAGGCCGGCTCTGCTTATGGGTCCTGCCTGTGCTCCAGTGTGGGCGATGAGGTCCTCGGGTCCATGAACATGTGACAGCTGGGCATCCCAGAGCACCTTGTCTGCCAGACCCAAGGCTGCAGCTTGGACCCTAGACCCTCTACCACCTGACCTCATCAACCCAGAGGACCAGAGCTCACTGTGTGACCTCTGGTGGCAGAGGAAGGTCAAGAGAGGAAAGAAGTTCAAAATCCAGGGCTGCTGGGGCTGCGGAGAGGATGCAGCCGTTAAGAGCATGTACTGCTCTTCCAAAGGACCTGGGTCAGGTTCCCAGCACCTTCATGGTGGTTCACAACCATCTGTAACTCCAAAGGGATCTGATGCTCTCTTCTGACTGTCACTGGCACCAAACACACATGTGGTGCACGTACATACATGCAAAAAAAAATTCATACACATAAAATAAAAATAAATCTTGAAAAAGAATCTCATACTTTGGGCAGTGCCAAGTCATCAAGGCTCCCCGCACCCTGAAACCTTAAGGAGGAAAAAACAGTGAAAAATAACCACTTTACACACGTAGGATTCGATGTGAAATTGACAAGTATTTGCTTAAAAGTGAAAAGAAGCCATGGATGGAGAAAAGATACTCACAACGTGTATGTCAGACCCAAAGCCCAAATCCTGTCTACACAAAGACTTTCTATAAGGCAATGAGAAAAAGGCAAACGCACTGGAAGATGGAAGCTAGAGAGAATGGGCTGACAGAACAGGCTCTTCCAAAACAGGAGAGATCTAAGTGGCAGGACTGTTTCATTTTATCGATGTGTGCGTGTGCGTGTGTGAATGTGTGTGTGTGCGTGTGCGTGTGTGAATGTGTGTGTGTGCGTGCGTGCGTGCGTGCGTGCGTGCGTGCGTGTGTGTGTGTGTGTGTGTTCGTGTGTATGCACTGGAGACCGGAGGCAGAAATCTGATGTCTTCCTCTAGCAGTCTCCACCTTATTCCCTTGAGACAAGGTCTCTCACTTTGCTTGGCGCTCTTCCAGTCTGGGGCTCCGCTGGCAGGCAGCAAGCCCCAGAGGCGCTCTGGCTCCCCATCCGCAGAGCACTGGGGTTACAGGAGCATTAGCTGTGCGCAGGTTTTTCGTTGTTGTTGTTGTTGTTGTTTGGGTGTTTTGAGGCAGGCTTTCACTACAGAGCTCTGGCTGACCTGGAGCTCATACTCTCCTATCTCAGTGGGCTACGTAGTTGGGATTACAGTTGTGTACCATTTTACCTGACATCAACTGCTTTCCCTTCTTTAGAAGCAAAATGATCCTGATTGACCCCTGCTCCCTCTTCGCATCCGAACACCAGCTCTCTTCAGCTCCATGCTATTCAGTGACTTTTCTCCTGCCCTACCTCGCCTTGCCTCCTCTTCATTCACTGCAGACCGGCTCCTGCCCTGTGCTTCTCCCTCCTAAGCCCTCCCATCCCCTTGGACAATTGTCATTTCATGAAGTTGACCATACCCTACTTTGGCCTCCTGACTCCTCACCTCCTGACTATCCGTGACCTTCACCGCCACTTCCTATCAGCTTCTGTACTCGGTGGCCACACCTTAGACCTTACCCTTCACTGGCACGAGTCACAAGTTTGCTACTAATTGCCTAAAGTCCAACTATAGAAGGGCTCAGCCACGGAAGGATGTTATTATCCCTAATTTACAAGAATCCGTACTTGGTGGGCTCCAGGAACATTAATTTAGTGACAGGTCTGTACCTTCAACATCTACCCAGGTTCTTCTTTCTCCCTATTCTGCCACCCTCAGGCATTATCTGGGTCATCAGACTAGCTTCTCACATGCTCAGCAGATGGCTACTGAAACTGAAATATCCCATCTTTAGGACAGTGTCCAGAGGCAGAAGCAAGGGCCTTATCTTCCTTTTGCCACTTTGTAACAAAGAAGGGAAATCTCCAAGCCAGCATATAGGTAGACAAGAGTTCAAGGCCATTCTTGGCTCTATATCTAGTTCCAGAACAGCCTGGACTACAAGAGACCCAGTTTCAAAAAAATAAAAAAATAAATGTTCTCAGATGTTTCCTGACTCCAACTGTGACTGCCTAGCAGTGACTTCTTTGTGACCCACATTGCTCTCTGCCCATGCCTTCGCTCAGTGTGTGTGAGTCAGCAAAGTTAGACTCAGTACACTAAGCAGAAAAGAAAAACGTGGAAGAGGGTTAAGAAAGAAATGTTTCGGCCAGGCATGGTGGCACATACCTGTATTCCCAGTATTTAGGATGCTGAGACAGGAGGATCAGCATTAGGAATTTGAGGCCAGCCTGGGCTACATAGTGAGTTCAAGGCCATCCAAGCCACTTATTGTGATCTTAAAAAAAAAAAAAAAAATGTTTCCTAACTAAGAAGCTTTGGAGCCAAGTGTGATGGCACACTCCTTTAACCCAGCTCTCGGGAGGCAGAGGCTAGAGTTGGAGTCAGCCTGGTCTATAATGAGAGCTCCAGCCAGAGCTACATGCAGAAACTTGTCTCAAAAAAGAAAGGAAGCAAGCAAGCAAGCAAGCAGGCAAGCAAGCAAGGATTTGGAGATAAGCTGTCTAAGCGTGCTAAGGTAATTTCATTAGAAGCCAAAAGTTTACCTTGTACTCCGACAGCCTTCAGTAGCTTCTATCAGAGTCGCCCCCACAGTCCACAGTCGCTTCTTTGATTCCATCCATTACACGCTCTGTCCAAGAAGAAGGAAGGAAGAAAAAAAGAGGGTGTGTGCACTATATGCCCTGAGTGTTTATGTTTAATGATACATAATTAAGTCAGAACTATTTATTGAGCACTGTCTATTAAGCATTTTCTGAGTGCCGAGCAAATTAGGGACATTCACTGTCATCCTCACAAAAATTTTATGAGTATAAAGTTAGGAAATTTTTTGCCTATTATTAATAATGGAACCTAGAGTCTCACGTACGCTAAGCATGTATTATATATTGAATTACTAAGCCATACCCTCCCCTGCTTTTCCTTTTTTATTCATTCTTTTTCTTTTTCAAGATCTATTTATTTTTATATTACATGTGTGGGTTATTGTCTGTATGTATATGTACACATGTGTGCAGTGCCCATGGAGACCAGAAGATAGCAGATCATCTGGACCAAGAATTATAGATAGTTGTTGTGGGGTATCCACCAGAAAAGATTGCTTGGACATGGGTTTAAGCCAATAGAAAGTCTTTATTAGCCAGCCAGTGATTATACTGGGTGTTCAGGATCCCAGTGTAGCCTCAAGCCTGTCTCAGAGTGAGCTTTTAAGCACAAAAACCATATCCTGGATTGACATACTTCAGTTACCAAGAACAGTTAGCCAGAATTGGAACTACAGAAGCAAAAAAGCAAGATTAGTACATTTAGAGACTTTCCCAGAACTATGGGCTTGGATGGATTAGGTCTTTGTTTTAGTTTTGACGGGTGACACTGTCTATGTGCTGAGTTTTACAGCCTGAATGGTAGTTCCATCATGGAGTCAGGTGTTGGGTGCTACTAAGGTCTGGGGCCCTGTTACAGTTGTCAGCCACCATGTGAGTACAGGGAACCAAATTCATCAGTCCTCTGGGAGAGTAGCAAGTGCTGTTAACCACTGAGCCATCTCTCTAGCTTCGCTCTCGCTCTCTTGACAGGGTCTCATGTAGCTCAGACTGGCCTTCAATTCACAATGTGGCTGAAACTGGCCTTGAACTTCTGATCTGCTTGTCTGTCCCTCCCAAGTGCTAAGCTCTCAGGTGTGATGACCATGCCCAGCTTTTCCCATTTCTTCCCTGCTAGAGCTGTTTTTTCCGAAGTAGCCCAGGTTGAACTCAAACTCCAAATCCTCCACCCACACCTCCCAAGTGCTGAGATTATAGGCCTGTGTCTTAGTCACTGATCTATTGTCACCATGTGTCTTAGTCACTGTTCTATTGCTGTGGAGAGACACCATGGCCACCAAGGCAACTCTTATAAAGATCAATTTAATTGGGGGCCTGCTTACAGTTTCAGAGGTTAGTCCATTATCATCATGGCAGGGAGCATGGTGGCATGCAGGCAGATGTGGTGCTGGAGAAGTAACTGAGAGCTCTACATCCTGATCTGCAGACAGCAGAGAGAGAGCCTAGGTCTCGCCTGGTCTTTTGAAACCTCAAAGACCACCCCTAGTGACACATTTCCTCCAACAAGGTCGCACCTCCTAATCCTTCCAATCCTTTCAAATAGTGCCGCTCCCTGGTGACTAAGCCTCCAAAGGCCTTCCCCCCCCCCCCAGACAGGGTTTCTCTGTGTAGCTTTGCGCCTTTCCTTGAACTCGCTTTGGAGACCAGGCTGCAAAGGTCATTTTTTTACATGTATTTATTTATGTATACAGTGTTCTGCCTGCACATATCCTTGCAGGCCAGAAGGGGGCACCAGATCTCATTACAGATGGTTGTGAGCCACCATGTGGTTGCTGGGAATTGAGCTCAGGACTTCTGGAAGAAGAGCGAGTGTTCTCCAGCCCCATGAAGGCCATTTTTATTTAAACCACCATGCCATGCTCCATGCCAGCTTGTATATATTTATATGTATAGATACATGTATATACATATATATTTAATAGAGGAAAACAAGAAACGATTAGGCCAAAGTCATGCTAGAAAAGCAGGAGCAGACTCAGGTATGTTCCAAATTCTATACTTTTCAGGGAGACACTAAGATCTCCAGTTGGCAAGATGAAAGTTAAAAAGGGCTTTCTGCAGCTAGAGAGGTAATTCAGCTGGCAGAGTGTTTGCCTAGCGTGGTCATATTTGGCTAATTAACAGCAAATTCAAGGTCAGTCTGTGGTACCTAAGACTCTATCATATGGGCTGCACAAATGCTCAGCACTGGCTGCTCTTGCAGTGGACCTGGGTAAGGTTCTCAGTACCTATGTGGCTGCTGGGGATCCAGTGCTGTCTTAGGCTTCTATTGCTGTGAAGAGACACCATGGCCACAGCAA